ATTTTTGCCATGGAATTGCCATGGCAAATTTGCCATGGCAGAAATTTGCCATGGCATTTCTATGGCAAAAATTTGCCATGGCAAAATGAAAAAAATTAGAGATTACAATAAAAACATAACAATACGACCAATAACATGTCATAGGATAAGTTTTAGAAAGTTTTGTGATGTTTTAAAAAAATAATTGCCATGGCAAATTTGCCATGGCAAAAGTAAGAAAAACCTTGCCATGGCAATTCTAATTTGCCATGGCAAATTATTTGCCATGGCAAAATGCCGAAATGCCATGGCAAAACACACTTTGCCATGGCAAATGCAAACTTTAAATGCATTTTTACAAAAAAGTATTAAAGATAGAAAAACAAAACATATTAACTTTTAAACCTTGTAGTAAATATGACAATGTAAGATAGTTTTCATTTTTTTAAAGCGCGTAAAAATAGGGGTTGAATTTGCCAAAAACTGGCGCGGCAAAAAGAAACCGGCAGCTATTATAACCATGGTAATTTATGATGGCATTGTTCGGCAATATTGTAAAAAGAGTATTTGATCAACAGGTCAAGATCGGGCGTGGTGAAACAAGAAGAAAGTAAAGTAAGTTACAAGAGAAGTCTATATGTAATATGTTATACTAGGATGTATGCCAGTTGAAAGCTAAGGTAACAAAATAGTAAAGAAATACTGCATATTTTGAAACAACAATCACAGCTTACAATAGCTATTCAACACAATTTGAAACATATTAGATGAGCCTCTGATCTCCTTTCAAAATTCCATTTTGTTTAGTTCCGCCCATTATCTTCTCGTTTAGGGCACACGCTTTCTATTACTTCGGGACCATACGCCGCTATTTATGGAATGGCACTACTGTGTCACATAGCAGGTTCCATGATAACCGCAGTATGAACACATCTGTGAGTATTTCTAAATTCAAAGTTTTACCATTTAATGTTTAATTTTTGAATTCTGCTTTAGCAGGTGCTAGGGGACGTGGACGGTAGTTTGCACTTGACAGTACCGTCCATGAACAGGCTCAATCAAACCGAGCCTGCAACATTTTCAGTTTTGTAGTTTTGGACTTTCTTTAGCGATTCTTATTTTCTCTTTTTTAATATTTAACAGGTTTCTAATGGGGATGTTAAAAGCCAGGGGGGGGGGGGGTCAGGGGCAAAACTGTACATGTTACAGGCTCGTGAAATTGAGCCTGTTAATGGATCGAAATGTTAAGTTAGGTACAGATATTTCTGTAAATTAAAGTTTTGTGCTAGTACATTGATACTCACTTCTGTGAGCACACTGTCTGTGAACGATCTTATTTCAGACTTTAACCACCAACGCTGCACATGAGACTATACAGACAGAATCGACTATGAAATACCACAAGAAACAACAATTTGAAAACTCTATAGTGTATATGCAATATAATTTAATTAAAACTCAAGCCTGTTATATGAATGAGATAAGATGTTGTGTTCCATATATAAGCAAGTGTAACATTACATTATGCCATATGAAAAAGGAAGTTGAGATAGTCAGAAACTCCGAAAATCAATTATTTCATAAATTTGTTTTACCGATATTTAATATTGCAAAATATTGCTTCTTTGTCAATCTACCAGATACTCGTTTAATATATGAAAGGTTATTCTTATCAAATAGTGTACTGTATATAATTATTTTCATTTGATTTATGCTTACCGCAATTATGATTGATGACATTCAAACTGACCGGTTTGTGAAATCGGACGAAACCTGTGATTACAAAGGACTTTAATAGGATACATTTGTGTCAAAATTTATTTACCTAACCGAAGCATTCATAGGTTCATTATTCTAAGATTAAATAGGTTAAAGTTAATGAAATTACAGTACAGGACAAATAGTGACTGATTATGTAAAAATGATTCGTTAAAAAAGGGACGTCTTGACATTGTAATTTAATCTTACATTTATCGTTTTAAATACTTAATTTAGAAGTGTTTTGTGAATGAGGCATAATTATGTTGTTGATATAAATAACCTTTGTAACATAAATTAACGTATATAGATAACTGATCAATTGAAATCAAAATCGATTATCCTGAGTGTGGTATATGTAAATTGTTAAGGTATTTTATTCACTTTACAATGTAACATGAGCTCAGATTAGATTAGTGATATACTATACTTATACAAGTAAGCAAGACAATCGGACTAGAATAGTAAAATAAAAAATCAACAACAACAACAAAAAACAAAACAAATAACAACAAAAACAAGAACAACACAACAACAAAAAAGCCAAAACAAACCAGCAACAACAACAACAAAAATCTCAGGACAAAAACAAAACGATATAACAGAGTAAGGACAAATGGAAAGGAAAAAATATAACATCATTTAAATGTCAGCACTAGAATAAGATACTGTCGGATTGTAACTTAAATACAACAATTATTCATTAGTGAACAGCAATTTTTTTCTTGAACACCGCCTTTATACTAAATAAGTTTTATCGATATTCATGTACATTGCAGAAATTAACTATCGATAAACCGTTTAATATTTAAGAAATAATACCGGTTTCAGTGGTGTTTATCGGCTATTTAACACCGGTTTGGAGTTTTGAAAAACGACAAAACTGGTGTAAGATAGCCGATAAACACCGCTCAGATCGATAATATTTCGAATAACTGAAGACAAAATACGGCAGATCATTACCCTATTTGTCAAGCGGAGATTACTTCTGCTACCGATATTTGTATAACGCTGTTCTATTTAGCACCTTACAGTCGCTAAATTAAAAAAAAAAATGACCAAAAAAAAAAAATAAATAAATAAATAAATTAAGAAATGTTTTATCAAGCTTGCAATAATTTTAGCTTAGGTGTCAGACTGGATCGTATTCAATTAACTAAATTCATTTTACTCATATTTGTACATTGAGGTTTATAATGCAAAGATGTTTCAATCAAATTAACTCAGTCATACGATAGGATATCAATTCAACGCAATTGCTGTTTAGTCAGCACCCTTCCGGTTTCATGGGAGGAAACTGTATTTTGAAACATGGATGTATAAAAGATTTTGTCATGGGTACGTTAGATATGACGTCAATAAAGCCGATTAAATCAGTCGTAGTAAATTGATATAGTTTAACATACTTGTGTAGTATAAATCGGATTAAAATGATGGTAACATGGATTTATTTGCCAGCAGAAATGTTTTCTATAAAAACTTTCTATCCGACATGAGCAAAAGAAGACAATTATGGCATTAAACTTACTCCATATATGTTAATTGTTATAAGACACACGCTATTAGATCTTTAAAAGTTATAAGTCGACATTGTTTGATAAGACATATTAATTTCGAGTTATTGATAAAAGTTTAATGTAAAAATTGTCCTAATTAAAGCACACATCTATGCAAATATATCCATTATATCTAAGAATTTAAAATCTAGCAAATAAGTGTTTAGACAGACTGACCTTTCGTTCAATTTGTATATCAAGAGAAAACATGAAACATATAGCAAATAGAAACTTATAAAAACAAAAGACCAAAAACCCTAGTGCAGAGTCACAGGCCATTTGTATTGCATATTTTTTATTGTTTATATGGATTTTCAGGTTTAACTGGAAACCTAAAATATAACTTCATGTCCGAACCAATCCTATGACCGAATATTTAGAGAGAGCAATTGTAAAAGATATAGTTTTTAAGTTTAATTCTTAAAGTTATTTCAGCCTATATTTGAAATAAAACATTGTAACCAGCATTTATTTTTCAGTCAAATATTTGTGTGAACGCAATATTCAACCATGGCAACTGGCAATAGGGAGGATACTTTGGTAAACTGTTTGTTTTCAAATATCTTTGTTTATAGTATTGTATATTATTTATCTTCTGTCTTTTGTTAATCTTATTTTTCTGTAAATTGATTTATTTTTTTGTTGCAAATTCATTGTGAAATATGTGTTTTTCGGACGTCACTGAGTATTTTCTTACATAATAATGACTACTTACATCGATCAACTCTGACACTTTAGAGCAACATGCCTCCAAAATACTCCAATAAAATCAAACATGAGGAACATGTATTTGACTTTAGAGAAAGTGGAAAACATCAAGATTCAAGTATTAGTTTATTTGTTATGAGCGATTAATGGTTTCTTTTTTATTATATATAATTATCCATATTTCTACTGCGTTACTTACGCAGTAAGGTCAATTATTGCATATTTTGACCACTTTTTGTAATAACAGTGGGTTGTTAGTGCCATTGATAATGTGTAAAGTGCTTCCTTTTTGTTAGTTTACAATATTTATACTTTAAATAACATTCTCAGAATTTTCGATTTTTTTTTTAAATAAGCATTTATCTGGAGGCGTGCTACTTTAAACAAAAAGATGTGCAAAAGATAACTCAGAAATATACTCAAAAATAAATTGAAATTGCAATTATGTGCTTTTTTAGCCAGAATTATGTGAAAAGCGTTGCAACGCGTTTCGAACTAATACAGGAAAATAAACGTGCGTGCAGACAATCTGAATTTTGCAAACAAGTTATTGCTTAGGCCATCAAAACGAACTTTATCCCGATTTTATTTCTATCCAAGTAAAGTGAAAAAACCACAGTGGAGTCTTGACTGGAGTCCCTCTAATGTTTAAAGTTATTGACTTCGTAATTCGTTTCAAGGTCACAAACGAATATCTATAATTTGTTATTGACTTATCGAAATCTTGTTCAGTAAATTACTATGAAAAGCATAGCTTTACTACCAGAGATACAATTTACCTTACTTTGGCGGAGTAATGGACATTAAGTTTAGTTAATACGATTCATTGTAATCTGTAACCATTTTGTTATGTTATTTCATGTTATTTTCAGTTAAGTATCCAACAACTTTATCATCAGTATTATTGGGAAGAAGTACAAATTGTACTTAAATTGTATTTATTATTAATTAGATTAAACTGTTCTCTTGCATTTCAGGATTCTGGCTTCATTGAAGTAAATGGGAAGCCTTTATCACAATCACAAGAAAAATTACCAAAAATCAAGACGCGTTGTAAGGTAACAACAAATATATTATCATCAAAAAAAGGACAAAACATTTATGCAATTGCCGAGAAACCAAGTATGATTCCTATCCTTAAAAACCGAATTTTGAAACCGATTACCAAAACCCCGTTTGAACGTAAACACGGAGAAAATAAAATGCAAACAGAAGAGATTAAAGATGAAATAGCTAAAAAACAGGGAAAGAGAACAGACAATAAAGAGAAACAAATGTTAGCACATGAGGAAGATTTTAAGGGACTTAAAGAACAAATCGCTTTACTTACACAAAAAGCAACTGAAAATGAAAAGCATATGACAGAAATAAAACAGATGAGTGTCAATGTGTTGGCAGAAATGAATGTCATAAATGATAAGATTGATAAGCTAGACCAAAGCACAGATGATAAGATTGATGGCATTGCGAAGCTAGTTAAACAACAAGACCAAGAAAGGAAAAAATATGCCGAACAAAGATCTACAACTGGTTCTTATGCGGGAAAACAAAAGCGTCAAGCCGCAAAAACAAGTTCAAAAGGAGAGTGGGCAAACAAATTTTAATAACTTTGTAAAAGGCACATTATGTCTCCGAAACACATTTTCTTTCCTCTTTAGAAAAAGCAAACATTAATTCTATCATATTTACATAATGGTTTAAGAGGCTGTTCGAGGCCAATTACCTGAAAGAAAATAACGATAAATGTAGCGACATGTAAAAAAGTAGTATTTTGACTTCCATACAAAATACTTTTTTCAGTATAACTGTACTTTTTGCAAAAAAGCAACAGATTAAAAAGATATATCAGGTAATTGTCCAACGAGTAATTTTTGAATACGATAAAAGTGCACCAAAATTAAAACAATTTAGTAAAAGAGAATTAAAAGCATTTCTGGAGTAAAATGGACCTTTAAATCTGATTTGTGTAATTTAATTTTGTTAGCGGAATCTACTTTTACCCTAAGGAAAATATTTTTTCAAACATTTCGTCAGTCTCTTTACGTTGAATCACTTAGTAAATATATGCATATCAAGTGATTAACACATGAAACGTGTCTGTAAATGTAATAGATCCTTTCTTTGCAGTAATAGATTATATTGTTACGGAAAATATCCTTTTTCCTACGATAACAAATCCTTTCCCTACGGTAAAACATCCCATCTCTACGGTAATATATCATATCTCTATGATAGCAGATATCATCCCTACAGTAGTAGATCCTAAACTCAACACGTTATGGTCCAATTTACTGAGGGAATGGCTTGCACTGAAATGAAACCTCATAGAACGCCGTTATTTGAAATGTTACTTTTTTCAATTAAATATACGCTTCAGTTTTTTTTTGTGATATATATTACGTCGTTCATAGCACCATTTATGAAAGTGTAAGTTAAATTAATAAAATGTAAATAAATGTTACATTTCGGGGCGTCCGTGGCCGAGTGGTAAAGGTCGTTGACTTCAAACCACTTGCCCCTCACCACTGTGGGTTCGAATCCAGACAGAGACCTTGGATTATTTCATGTGAGGAAGCTATATAGCTAGCGTTCGGAACGTCGGTGATTCTACTCAGGTCCCGTTCGTGCCTGAAATAAAGCACGGAAGGGGACCTGAGGTCTTCCACCATCAGTAAAGTTGGTTGCAACGTCGCCATATGACATGTAGTGTGTCTGGGTAAAGTAAACCCAATCAAACAAACAAACATGGAATGTTTCCATGCTTCCTTTGCAACGAATGTGTTAAAATCTTCGATACCACTTACTTTCATAACACACCTATTTCCGTTTCGGACAATGCAACAAATAAATTATGAACGTTGAGTAACCTAACATTTTATACATTCATTTGTGTTTACATTTTTTGTCCATGGACCCGATTTTGATCAATTAATCGCTCCGATTTACAGCTAAAAATAAACTCGACACAAAAATTCCTTTTGATTTCTATTATGTCAAGTCATATATTGGTTTTCCGTCGGTGATTTGGAGCATGTCATATTAATGAATGAGAAAGGGAACATATTTCACGCCTCAATCGCAGGAGACAAAGAACTAAATTCGGAAATTTATTTCTTATATTTGCATCTTCTGCAAGAAATTCTTAAATCTTTTGTATAAATCCGAGCACGATAAACAGAAGTTTTTTCATACGTATTTATAGTACGGAACAGTCCATCTGAATACTATAAAGGTAAATGACATGTTGCACATCTTCATGATTGTACGTTTGACTGATAATTGTAAAAGTAAGTAAAAAATGTCGCAATATCTCAATAGGTAGACCGCTAAGTACAGAAGTAATCTACTCTATGGCAGAAGGGTAACAAGCTTCAAAAAAAGTTTTTTGGTATTCTTTTTATTTTTTATTTTTTCCTTCCTTCATGTACGAAAATACATAATGATAATGCGTTTGTATTTAATTGATTTATTTATGTTACTTTTTAATCGAAGTAACTTCATCTTATTTATTCCATTATCTTTTTCATATTTGTATTATTCATTTGTTATTCTAAATGTATGATATTTCAACAAATTTTATGAAAATCAAAAATACAATATCTTTAACTTCATGTACGAAGCCATTTATTTATTTTGGCAGACAATAAGAAATTAAAAAAAGATAGAATTAAAATTTAAATAAAAAGTGAAACAGTTTTCACCAGGTTTCGAACCCACTAGCTGAATTTACTTTCATATTAATAAGCGGTCTTCCTTACTGTGCTATAGAGTCCAAAAAAGATAAAATCTTATAAAATAAATCTTTATTTTAATGTAACAATTTGGTTAATCACTTGTAGTTTACCAATGTTCACCTATGTTAATCTTTCAATGGACTGTGCTTGCATTTTTAGAACTGACGAAAGTTCTGTTTATCGTGCTCGGACTTTTTCTATAGTACGCAGTAGGTTATGTATTTATTTTATTGCTACGCAAGACTGGTTAAATGAATTCGAAAGATATTAATAGATGACCTTATTAACATTTTGAAAATTCAAAAATCTATATATAGAAGTAGTCTGAAACTCTTTTATGAGAACATTTTTCATTCCACCATAATTTAGGGGCCTTATATTTTACCTTTCTTTATTTAGGTATTGTTTAGTCCAATATTGAGTTAAGTTTGTCGAGGAATGATTGAAATATTTCATTCATATATCCACCTTTAATTATGTAATTTAATTCTTGTCTGCATAAATGTCTAAAATCTATCCATTGATTCTCAGTAGCTTTTTCAGTTAACTATTTCTCTAATAATTTTATAAAAACTTTCCATAACTCAAACATAGCGAATAATTACATGTATTCCTAAGACAATAAAACTATAGATATTTAAAAAAAAATGGAAGCCCATAACTCTTTTAAATACAACTTTGAATTATATATTTTTAGAAACTTTCGTCATATTATAAGTCTCACATTAGTTGTGATGACAGATTAGGGAAATAACATATCTATTTGTGTCTATTGTATATGTTGTCTTTTCCGAAACTAAAATGATCTTATCTGATCAAGACGTTTAGTGTCGCGTTATGTCAATAGATCAAGGTGGGTTTTGGGTTGGATGGATGGATGGATGGATGGATGGATGGATAGATAGATAGATAGATAGATAGATAGATAGATAGATAGATAGATAGATAGATAGATAGATAGATAATAGATAGATAGATAGATAGATAGATAGATAGATAGATAGATAGATAGATAGATAGATAGATAGATAGATAGATAGATAGATAGATAGATAGATAGATAGATAGATAGATAGATAGATAGATAGATAGATAGAAAAATAGATAGATAGATAGATAGATAGATAGATAGATAGATAGATAGATAGATAGATAGATAGATAGATAGATAGATAGATAGATAGATAGATAGATAGATAGATAGATAGATAGATAGATAGATAGATAGATAGATAGATAGATAGATAGATAGATAGATAGATAGATAGATAGATAGATAGATAGATAGATAGATAGATAGATAGATAGATAGATAGATAGATAGATAGATAGATAGATAGATAGATAGATAGATAGATAATAGATAGATAGATAGATAGATAGATAGAAAAATAGATAGATAGATAGATAGATAGATAGATAGATAGATAGATAGATAGATAGATAGATAGATAGATAGATAGATAGATAGATAGATAGATAGATAGATAGATAGATAAACGAATTAATAAATAGTTGAAAAAATGATCAATTAATCAATAAATTAATTGGTTGATTAATGGTTTATTGAATGAATGAATGATTGGTTGATTAATTGATTAAGAATGAATTAATTATTTAATGTAAATAACAAAATGAATATATCAACACATGTAAATAGATAAAAACAACAATACAAAAAGTAGAACAACAAAAAAAACAAACATTTTTCGATAATAAGAACAACCATATAACCAATGTGAATTAAGTGATTTTTCTTCCACCAGCAAGACAGGATGCTCGTGATCTATTGAAAGGTTATTGTCACTTATCCGATTTATATTGTGTGATATTGTTAAACCACCGCTTTACAACTTTAGCGAATATTTATCTTACGATATTATAAACGAATATTTTACATTATAAACAGAACAATCTTTAAAAAACCTATATTGATGGTTTTACTTATTTTCAGAATTTAAAATTTAGCAGGAGATTTTATGATTTATTATATCAATTTACCATTTATATTTACCCTCGTAATTACTGAGTTTCTTTATCATATAAAGCGTAGTTACAACGTTCATAAGGATTGTCGTAGTATCCTCCTTAAATTGGATGTTCCTATTTTAAAAGTGACCAGATTCTTAAACGGCTGTGAAGCTGTCATCTAATTTAATCCTATAACTATAGCTACAAGGATAGAAATTTAATACAGAATGTATGTTTCCGTTAACTAATCGAAAATGCATTTTCTGCCTTTAGCTATGTTATGTTAAGTAGGCCGTGAAAAGAAATAGAAATTTTTATCAATTTAAGAGATATTAGACACCATTTATTAACCGTTTAATCGATTTGTTTTTCGAGTGGAATGTTTGAACAATAAATTCACTCATTAAGTGTAACTGTAAGCGGTCAGAATAGATAAAACTTGAGGTAAGAAATTATGTTGTTATAAAAGTTATGAAATCTCCCTAATATTTAATCAAACCAATATGATTTACTAATATAATATTTGTCACAAGTAAAATTCAATGTAGTTATATAAAACACACCTTATACTTATATATGATTGTACAAGGAATTGAAACTGGATTTTTAATCATAATGCTGCTGCTGCTGCTGCTGCTGCTGCTGCTGCTACTGATACTACTACTGCTGCTACTACTACTACTACTACTACTACTACTACTACTACTACTACTACTACTACTAATAATAATAATAATAATAATAATAATAATAATAATAATAATAATAATAATAATAATAATAGTAATAATAATAATAATAATAATAATAAATAATAATTATGATTATGATGATACCTACAATTATAATGAAAAATGAAAAAAGTATATAGTAAAAATGATCAAACTAATAGTAATCATGATAATGTATTATGTGGCAAGTTTTACAGAAAACAATCATTACTCAAATATTGATAGTCAACCACTTAAGCTATGAGTGTAAATAAAATTTGACTCGAAGTTAAGTTTATAATAAGCGATAATTTCTTTTGAGAATATAAGGTACATTTCATTTACAATTAGATAAAAATAAAAACAATTGATCAATATAAGAATTATCTAGATTGACTGTTAATCAGCTGGAACCGAAATATATTGGTCTTTGCCATCTTTTTGCGGTCTGACGTCCAGGCTCAATATAGTTTGTAACTTTAATAGAAACGAATGTTTTTTTCTTCTTATTTTCGGGTGATTGGCCAATGAGTAAATATTTGTAAACTACAACAGGACACTTAAACGAAAGTATTGTTTAGAAATAAAAAACAATCATTTCTGGGAAATAATGGGCCTTTATCTTTTTATTCTAGAATTAATATCCTTAAAATTTTCAATGGACTGTTCCAAATCAAAATTAATATAAAAAACATATAAAATTGACAAAAAAGTTAATCAAATGGAATGTTTGAAAATGATAAAAAAGTTTAGATTACTTAAGAGGTAACATAATGCTTTAACCTTGGGTTCGAATAACTTAAAAAGGTTTTACTAAATGTTTTCTGACTTTCAAAATCTGCATTATCTTATATCAATCTTGCACTGGCAAAACACCAAAAGTGTCGAAATTATTTTGGAAATAGCCTAGTATAGGCTTATAATATTTTTTTTCAATTATAACATTATGTCATACAAAATCTGATCGTGTGATAAAGATCAATCATTAAAATATTAAATACGATTCGTTTTATGATATTCATATACAATTGATACATGTATTTTGATACATTCAAATTCAATCCATAGTTTATCAATCATAGCTATACTTATGTTTTTTTACAAAAAGTGACACCAAGGTTTGTGAAAACCATAATAATGATTTAGATAGCCACTTATGAGAAAATGACTTTCGATTGAGAATATATTTTTGAAATTTATTCATACTAATCTGGCCCTGATCTTTAAAAAGTTGATATCGTGATTTATATAATTATATAAATATTTTCGATAACTATTTCCTTATCTACTAAGCTAAATTACATGAAACTTCACAAATGTTCTAAAATAGGTGATACATGTATCCTTAAAGTATATTGACGATTTTATCAAAGTCTGAAATAAAACTTAATTTAGAAAAATCCGATCAATATATTTTAGTTTTAAAGAACTGCCATTGACAGGCAGACAGACATGGCTACCGGTTATTATGAACAATCTGAGGTAAGCGATATAGTTAAGTCAATCTAAGTGACTGGAAAGTCATCATTAAAGGGCCTTTATCACACACAGTTGTAATATTCGGAAACGTAAATATAGTTTACATTTATTTTGTTTATTAGGACATCGAATTTTATATATTAAGATGATTTATCTTTTTTTTTTCTTTAAACATATCACAAATATCGGTATTAATATTCCTACCCTGTTTACGAACATTTCACTCTTGTTTATAAATATACTGTAAAGTAACTGCGTTCTATTATCCAGCAATAAAACTTAAGTAACATTAACCCCGCAACTTAATGTTAAGTCGTTTTGAATATCTGAATTATATGTAAACTGATACATACGAGTATATATTGTTAAATTAAATTTGAAATACTAGAATAAAATCTTGTGCTATTGCAAATGCTAGTACAAATATGAATGTGTTTTGTAGGATTCTAATTATATGTCAGTGACCGGAGAATCAGCATATCCAAGACGAGAATAAAAAAACAAGACAAAAAAGTGTCTACTGACTGACTTAAACGCAATGAATAAAAATTCAAATGAAAAAATAATAACCTGCAGAAGGATATTGAGAAACAAATTGAAGAAAATAACCTTGACAGGAAAAGGTTGGTTCAAAATCATAAAAAAAGAAATTGCTGAGAAATCCAAAGAAATTGAAAACTTAAAATCTCAAATCAATAAGTTGAAGGATATTATTAAAGAAAAAGAAGTAAAAGAAAAAGCGGAAAAGATAAAAGAAATGGCATTAAACAGGAAATGGTTGATATTACATCATACAAGGAAGAGATTAAAAGATTAATGGATCAGTTCGCAATGTTTAAAGAGACAATAGAGTTCCTGGAAGAAGAAATAATCGAAGAAATAAACTAGTCTGAAGACTTGTCGGAAAAATTCGAAAAGTTTTCGGAAAAGCTAGAAGAACAAGAGAATACTACAAAATTAATGAATGATAAGTTAAATACCATAACTTTGTTACTTACAAAAGGCGCAAATTAGGAAAAAGAACCAACTGAAACTAAGCAAATTAAAAAACGCTGGAAAAATTTTAAGAAAAAGTGATTCATTTAGATGAACAAATTTGTTCTTCACTGTTTTTTAATTAACTAACACAAAATTGATATTTGTTTAACTTTTAATGCTCGATTACCGATCATTCCTAAAGTTTGATTTACATAAACATATTGTTCACCAATTTCAAAGTATTAAATGTTACCGTCCGAGATATAACTTTAAATCAGCATTTTGTGGAAGTTTATTTAATTGCTTTTTCATTCAGATATTATTGGTAGTTCCCAAGACATATTTACATTAAAATGGTGTGTAAACCTTAAGAAGTTGTTGGATATGTGACAAATTGGATAAGAAAGTATAATATTTTCGTTATTAACATTAAAAGGAAATTATTATATACAATTGCTGAACATTCATTTTTAGATTATCTTACATGTATTAAACATTGTCAAGAATAAAATACAGAGATTATTGCTTTGAGATTATTGAACCATAGTTTGAGGTTGCGAAACGAGTAAAGACCACATATTTCCCATCAAATCGTGAGGCTAAGAGGGCAGACTGAGAAAACAAATGTGACAGACTGTAATTGTCGTCGATGCCGGGCATGCTTTTGAATGCTACGTTTACTAGCTTTTGAATGCTACGTTTACAAGCTTTTGAATGCTACGTTTACTCTATGATCTCGTCAGCCCAATCCCAAGTAGCCCACCGTATTTACGATGTTAGTATGAAAAGTGGATCACTCAAAGATTCGGGAAATGGTCTATCAGTGATACATTTATTTTATAACTATGTCCGATGCTTTCTGATGAGATTTTCTGTTCACGTCTTCGTGTGGCGCTTTTCAAATTATGTTTTTTCAGTCATATGGAACAAACGAAGAGTTTGTAGAGGGTAAGACGTTCCTGCTTAATGTTTAAACGAAAACCCATTGAGCATAATTAAACATTGTGTCAATATTTTTCAACTAGTAAACAAAGGCACATGCCCATATTCACCATGCATTCCTTTCAATAACAAAGAGCATTTGAAAATTGCAGCACTTTTGTTGTTATGTAAAATATCCTAGGAAACGAAAACAAAATGTTTCTAAAAGCAGATGGCACATATGTTATCTGTTCAACTTTCCGAATTTCCATCAGTAGTTACGTTAAAGCCCCCTTTTATAAAAGACAAATTCATTTATGTTCCATTTGTTAGTTTAATTCAGAATAAAATAATGTTTGTCCTCCACAGTTCGTCTTAGAAACTAAGATATTTGCATCTGATCATTGGCCTAAAAATGAAAAAGTGACAATCAGTTTATAAATAAATCATAACTGTTTCCAGTATATTGTCTGTCTTAAATGTAAGAAGCGAAGTTTGATATTTTGCAAAAATGCTTGAAAAGTGTGATTGGTTTTCGTTAGTAGAATAGAGATATTATGTTTTCGTAAAGTTTATTATGAGAGGGGCACAGTATAATCCGAGCACGATCAACAGAACTTCCACCAGTTCTTAAAATACAAGGACAGTCCATTAAAAGATCAACGCAGGTAAAAATAGATAAATTGCAAGTAATTAACCAAATTATTACCATTTAACTGATACGTATTATTATTTAGGAGATATTGTCTTCGTTTGTCTCAATAGCGCGATAACTAAGACCACGTATTCATATAAAAGTGAATTTAGCTAGCGGGGTCGATTCCTACTGGAAACTGTTTAATGTTTTCAATTCAAGTTCATTGTTTTTATAAAAAAATAACTTACTGCCTGACAATATAAATATATGCTTCACAATGTTATATTTTTGTCTCTCTTAAAGTTGGCTAAAAATATACATGTGAAAAGAAATGAAAAAAGAGAAAGGAACGAAACAGAGGCACAAATATGATAAATATACTTCGATTAAAATGTAACATAAATAAAAACGCATTTTAATTATCGGTAGTTTCTGACATCTAAAGTACTTGAGAAATAAAACTTTTTTTTTAGGTCCGTTAGCCTTGTATCATGAAATACCTTCTGAGCTTAGTGATCTACCGATTGAGCTATTGTTTAACTTATCTCAAAATTATTACTCAATCATACAGTCAATCAAGACGTGTAACATTGCACTTATACCTATATAGCTTTTAAATAAACTGTTCAGCATTATAAATAAATATGAAGAAACTGCAGTTTGAGAAAACATAACCACAGAGCTATTGACAGATTTGGGTTTTAGGAAAACAGATGTGGAAGTTACTTCTTATAAAAACCAATGTAGAAAATTATATTATTTTTTTTGTTTCGTAAATCTAATTCTGGTTACAATGAAATGAATAATTTATGAATGCCGTAGACGAAAGTTGCTTTTTTTGTTTATTTATTGTACATTAATTATAAACTTGTTACTTGATTAAAATGTCTAACTTTATTAAAATATCATTAAAGCTGTTCGGCTCTTAACACGAGATGAAGACAAGTCAAAATGAGTTTTTTGTTCTAATTGTTTTCTTTAATAAATACGACCTGATCATAGACAAACGCTCAATACATCCAATCATGGACCAACATGCGAAAATTGATCCTGAATTATAAATGTTATTTGTGTTTAAGTATTTAGGGTAATTGATTATTCTTACTACGTTTTGCCGCATCATTGCAGTTGCAAAAAAACCCTTTAGCTAAATACGACATTATTGTCAATAATAGGACGTTTGATATTTCAATTGATTTTCTAATATAATTAACAAGTATAAAATTTAAAAAATGTACAAACGAAATAGAGAATGTTTTAGGAAGACTTGATAATATCAGGGTTTATCTTTGTATAAATACAAAACATCCACAATAAAGATCTTGCATAGATATTTAAATACCTATTCATTATCTAATCGATTATTTTGAATAAAATAACAAATGTCAAACTTGAACAAAAATTAATATATATTTCATAATGGTATACGGAGACAGCTGTACATACAGAGGTAAGATTTTCTTTTAACTTAGAATATATTAAATATTTTATTTTATGTTTGTTTTTTTAAATATAAATGAATACGAATAAGATACGACGAAACAATGTAACATTTTATGGCACCTTTATTTCGACAACACGGAGGATAAAATTTGAATTAAAGAAATAAAACGGTAAATAAAAAATCGAATTCGTTAAACATTCGATACCATTTACTTTTATAACTCACTTATTTCCGTTGCGTACAATTCAACAAATAAAATAAACTTTGAGTAGCCAAATTTTTTAAAGATATACACCAGAGGCTTCATTTGCATACATATTTTGCGAGTAAGTTTGGCTAATTGGGCCCATATATTACACAAAAAGTAAAGATAATATATTTTAGCCGTTACCACATTAAATCTCTTAAAAGGAATTGCCCATCTTTGATAAGGACTTAACCATTAATCTAAACATATTTACTTAAATATTTCTTCATAGTTAACATTTTATATGTATGTAATTATGACATATTATTACATATTATTGAAAAGAATTAGAACAAAAGAAAACATAATATATAGTTCCTTCTTGGATAACAAATTATATTTACAAAAACATATTTGGCAGGATAAATTATAAAGTAAAGACTATTGCAAGATCCTGTTTAAACATAAACAATGGAAGGTATTGTAGAACAATATAAATGCAATAAGATTTGACAATTTTCAGATAAAAACTAAGCAAAAGAAAACACAAAATAAGTCAAAGATTTTATACTAAATCTGGCTCTTATAGCAAAGTGAGCAAAAGTCTAGAAATTAACTATATAATAAAATCCTTTAGTTTCTTTAAAGCAAACAGTGAGTAAATATCATTATACTTGTGTACATGTATATAACGGAGCACGGTCGTCCCACTAATTTATGTTAATTATTACTTTTCACTCAATCAAATGCTTTATACTATAATAACAGAAACTCATTGGTTTAGAAAAAAAGCGGAAACAAAAGTGCAGTGATTTCAACGTATAAATTATTTCAAATACATCTTAACGAAATAGAAATAGAAATTATTTCATACTTCAGCCTAGTATTAAAAAATCATTTCATATTGAGTCCGAAATTAGAAAAAAAACATATTTTATCAAACGCCGTCATGTTGTTATTTCTTTTTAGATAAATACAGACCGATTTAATTATCAATATCAATTTATTTGGTATGATGATATAATTATCCTTAATAATAACATACAGGAAGTCTTTCGATGTTTCATTACTTAAAAGGCCCATTAACTGTATAAGGCTTGCTTTCTTTTTTATTTCTAAAGAGGTGTTTATAGTATGTGTCATGTTATATTTTCCATAGCGTTACTCGTTGGCCAGTTATCTGAACTATCTTAATTTCCTTCTTATACTATAGGACAATAAGTGCAGTTGAAGTCGTTGTTTTTTGTATTATTCTTCGTTAGTGATATAATACAAAACATAAACACTGACATAGATGATATATTTAGTCTAAATGAACAAAAAATGTTTCTCATCCTACATGCAGATGATCAAGTGCTGTTTGCACTGATCCTTGAAAATTTACAGTTTATGTTAATGACGTCGTTTTTTATTGTAATACTTGGAGTTTGAAATAAACACGGCGAAAAATAAGGTCATGATATTTGAAAAGGAAAGGACAACTATTTTATTTTCTTTTATATTTACGGTATGCAACTTGAAAGAGTAGAATCTTTTAAGTACTTAGGAATTACTATTTTCAAATGGCAATTGGTCAAGGACACAACAATGTATTGCTCAGCACGCATCATTTGCATGATGAACTTTGTTAAATGACGCAGAATTTACTTTTCCAAAGACATTTTAATTGTTTAATACGTTAGAATGTTTAGTCCTTAACTTTGGATTTGAGATTTGGGGGCACCATAAGGGTAGGTATATAGAAGTTGTACACATGAAATTTTAACGGCGAATACTAGGCGTTTAACGTTTTTTCCCTTGAAGTTACAATAAAGATCACTATGTTAAAACACTTGATGAAAATATTATCGTAAAACTCTCTGAATTAATAGACATTTCTAATACTTAAACATGACGCTGATTTTAGAAGACTTTACTAACGACATAATTGGGCGTACCAAATTAAGTATGGTTTTAGCTATATTTGGGGTCACCAATTTCAAATCGACTTCCTTTTGATGAAATGATGACAATAATTTATGATTCATATATGCAACAATGGTATAGAGAAATTAATAATTCCAATCGACTTCATTCGTACGCGATGTTAAACAAAAAATTTGAGCTACAAAATACCTAAATATCATTTACGAAATTAAATAACGAATAACATTAAATAGATTTAAAGCTTCGTCACATAACTAGTTTAAGTATTAAAATCGGACGAAAAAAAATATTCAAAGGGAAGATAGATTGTGTAGGTTATTTAATATGAATTAACTCGAATCGGAATACCGTTTTCTTTTAATTTGTTCTTCTTATCGTGATTTAAGGAAAACATATTTTAACCTTACTTCTATCTCTGGCCGATCCCGCGAATATCAAAATATTTGAGATTCTTTTATCAGCACGTTCGAATAAAACTATTTATAAGATATTTAAAATGCTAAGTAAAGAAGCGACGCTAATACAACGTGTTCAATCTATAATAAGTTTTGTTGATCTATTTAGTTTAACATACAAGCAATTAAACGAGCGCGAGGGGTATGAAAAGAAACCTTATATAGGCTTATTCAATTCTTATTTAAATGATCAAACCTTCTTGCTGTGTGAAAATTAAAATATTTATGTAATAAGTATTTACAATTATTGATAATCATGTTATCTCTTCTGTAAACCATGTTCTCTTTGTATACGTATACTTTGTATGCCAAAGAATGTAAAATGTGTCATCCTCAATACACTATATTTTATATAACAAATCTGTTTAAAGTCTTCTGCATTCATTTAAAATACCAGCAGTAGTATTACCCACAAATTTAACTTTTAAGTTGACAATACTAAAGTATATAGATAGACCTTCTGACGTTCAAACTCTATTGTTAGAAAGATTTACGTTAATCATTAAATGTAAAGATATGATAATTTGTATTTCTTTTCTTTTTAACAGTAAATTGTCATGATCAAATGTTGTATTGAGCGTTAATAAAACATTCATATTATACTTCTGATGTTTTGAAATTTAAATGGGAATTTAGTGTTTGATTAGGGTTTTTTTGCCAAATAAGATTGCAGCATTTCAAATGAATCGTAAACCATTAACTGTCGTGAATCGGTTATTAATCAGTTCAGTACATCCGCTGTTTATGACACTTTATTAATGTGTTAGGATTTACCAAATTGACTTCGTCGAACAGCTGCACCGCTCCTTGCCTATTTATTTTAAATTATGAACCATAACAATTTATTTTTAATTATGAACCATAACCTATACTTTCCATACTTAAAAATATTATTACAACTTTATACTAATTATCTTACAGTTTTTCTCCTTACGGTATTTTAAGATGATAATTGAACAAGCAGGAATAGATCATTTATAGAGTAGTATTGATTAATTGACCTTTAACATGTGTATTATAATCTAATTGTATCATAGTTTGGGGACCTTTCTGTTGAAAATGTGTCAGAGTTAAATCGTATACATATACATGCACAGTGCATTATCTGAAGTGCAGGTATTAGTTACCAGCACTCCAGAGCATGCCCATTGATTGGCTCATTTTTGCTGCGGTTTACTTATTGTGACGGAAGAGAAAGGGAAAGCGACAGAAATCTCATATTCAGATGCTCGTTTATTGGTTTTTATGTTTGCACTCCAGAGCATGCCCATTGATTGGCTCATTTTTGCTGGGGTTTACCTATTGTGACGGAAGAGAAAGGGAAAGCGACCGAAATCTCATATTCAGATGCTCGTTCATTGGTTACTTTTTCCCGGGGTTTCATATTGTGATAACAGGGAATGTGTTTTTATGTTTGACTATGATACAAAAGAGAAAGAACATCAAAACACTCGGCAATCTGATTAATACTCGGGGGCTACGCCCCCTCGTACAAATCAGATAGCCTCGTGTTTCGATGCTTTTTCTATTACTTACACTATCGATCTGCTAGATAAAGTTTTAAAATAATTAAAAGGTGGTGCAAATTGATTGCCTGTATTACTGAGGATTGGTCACAGCAAGAAAAGTTTAAAGTTTAGAAATGAAGTGCTCTTACCTAATTTAACTATATTCATTTAATATTTTAGCTAATAAGACCTTGGAAAGTTCGCATAAACGAATCAAAAACATTGTTTGTAAAACAAAACTGAGTCATCCTGAAATATTTAAATATCCTTATATTATTTTATTTTTTGACTTAACAGATAAAACTTCTATTTTATTTTCAGTCTATATGTCAACAGTTTTGTATCATACAGATTGGAAATATTAAGTCATGGCTACAGGTGGAAAAAATGATTCAGAGGTAACTAATTTACATAACAACAAAATGAATAAATATATAAATTTTGTATTGTTAACAGTCCCTGATGCGTATACAACTTAAATGAAAGAAAAAATGTATTCAAAAATATATTATGGGTATTAATGCTATAATAGATATTTTATACAAATATATATTTCTTTCTTTCATTCCCTTAAATCTTCTATTTTTTAATAAAAGCTTAACCTGTTTCAACTAGAAAATGTATATATTGAATATGTAATGTTTATATTGAAGCTTTTACCCACACTCCCCCTCCCCCCCCCGTTATCACCGGCTTAAGTCTCAAAGTTCTATATTATGCAGATTTACTAGGTCACAATATGAAATCAATACAATTCTGTATTGATTTCATATATATTTTCATATAATTCATATTCTGTATTGATTTCATATTGTATATATATATATATATATATATTGTAAATTCAACTCATATAATTCATATCAGTATAATTATATCACAGTGTGTTAAGAATTTATAAGCTTGTTTTCAACACAATGTAAAATGCATGATTCCTGTATCATTAAAACTTTATTTTCTTTATCGACAGTTGTGCTCAGTAAACTAAATAATACTTGTTTTCTGTATATCTAAGCTTTTTTTTTTACACCTAAAAAGTTCAATGTACATGTATTGTGTTTATTACATTTTCATAAAAAATGTTCCTATAAAAACAAAGCTTGTACACTAAAATTTTGCAAACTATAAATTTCATAAAATGTATTCTATGAATAGACCTAAAAATAAAATAATTTCATTGCAAAGCTAACAAGAAAATACCTGGTTTATTTTAAAGCATATATGATATCGAAATCAATAGCAAAACAATAACTAAAATTCAGCTTTGCTCTGTAGAAAAAGATATACATGTACTATCCAAGGAAAGTGTTCATATAAATAATAAAAGTCTCTAAATGACATTTTGACAAATTACGGTAAGTGATATTATGCCCATCCAAAGGAATATATATTGAGTGAACAATTGAAAGTCTAGATAAATTTACATTTTGACATAATTCCTTTCAAATATTATAAATAAGTTCGAGTTAATTAACGATAGATACGTCACGTGGTCTAGTGAAATTTCAATAAATATCGGAAATCGCATGTAACGTTCAATTTATTATAAGGGTGGGGCAATCTTTTATATTATATGCAGATTTATGTTTAATTCTAAACATTGTTTAAACCTCAACTGTTGGTCAATCATCATTATTACTGTCAGTCTTTTGAAATATGCAGTTCAGACAATAAAAAATTTAAGCATAATGTCACTTCTTAATTTTAATTTACACATGTGTAGGCATGTTTAAGCAAACACCAGGAATATGTTTCGAAAAGTTTCGATTACTAATACAATAAATTTAAGGTGTTAGTTATAGGCGCCCAAACTCCTCACACTGATTATCTCCCTTGGCAGAATTGTAATCACTGCCTTCACAGACGTCACATGATGATGAAAGTCACATGACGTAACGTCGAAATTCAAATGTAAATATCGACCGTTACATAGAAAATATACCGTCATTTTTCTCTTTCTGTTTTATTTTCAACTTTTTTTACCTACGTCCGTTATATTTTATCAAAAAATTATCAAAAGTATACAAAATAATGAAAAATAAATTAAAAAGCTAAAAAATATAACTATTCAAATATTCATATTTCAATGTTTGTAATGGCAGAGATCTCTGTACTGATAAGGGGAGATCACTGCGTAGGAGATTGATAGGTGCCTATTACTGAGGAGTGTTCATCTTCAATAAGAAAACAGATTTTCAAGAGGCGTGGTTTGGAGGCTAACTTTTTTCACATTTTCTTCCTTTTCTCTGGTCAAACTATGATTTTCTTATAATATTTCTGAACATATTTATAAAAAATATTTGTAACTTTCTTTTAATAATGATGTTTTAATGTAAAATAAGATTGATAAATCATAAAATATGGCTTGTTTTCGGAACCCACCCTCTTTACGTTCCATCAGCACTGACATATATCTGTGTTTATAAAACCATATATTTTTCAGCTATTTTTTTCATTGTCATTGTTTCATAATTATTACAAATTCTTACCACTAAAGTCATGAATTAAGTAACACCTATGATTTTAATAATAAAAACGTTGAACTTAAATTGTCAATAATATTCAAACAAGATAATAAACTTTTTGTTATTTTTTTATTTGTGTAAAAACATATCGTTAAGTTTTATAATATCAAGTTTTAGATGAATTTTGAAACAATATTCGTTAATAATGATTATACTTATAAAAGCATTAATTTCAGGATTCTGGTTTTATAACAGTTGCTGGAGAGGCTGCCATTAGACCTGAAGACACAAAACCAATAGCCAGTAAAGGGAATAAGGAAACGTCAGAGTTAAATGCAATCAAAACAATGAATAAAAATTTAAACGAAAAAATCATAACACTGAAAAAGGAAATAAACAATCAAACTGAAGACTTTAATGCAGAAAGGATGGAACTGATTCGAAGCCATAGAAGAGAAACTGACAATTTGAAAAAAGTACATAATAAAACTTTAGAACGTCTTTCGGCCAAATCTCAAGAAATTACAAGACAGGCGGAGGAAATAAATAAATTGAAAGCTACTATAGAATCACTAGAGAAAACTGAAAAAGAACTAAGGGAAAAAATCGAAAACGCAAAAAAAGATGGTCAAAATAAAATTGAGTATGAAAAACAAATGCGAGAAATGTCAGCTTCAAGAAAAGAAATTGAAAAACTTAGAGAACAAATTGTTATATTAGAAAACACAATAGCTGAAAAGGAAAAAGAAATTTCCAAAGAAAAAGAAAAGAATACCGATCTATCAGCAGAATTTGGAAACCTTGCCCAAAAGCAAGAACATGCCATGACTGTCATGAAGGATGAACTGCTGAACGAGATTAAAGAAAGGGACAAAAGTACAAAAGACATGCTACAGCAAATTCAGGGGCTAATTGTCCAAGGCCAGAGTAAACAGAAAGATGTTGAACACAATCCGAAATTAAGACAAGGCCAGTCTCCACTACCACCTATTCGCGAAACAACAACATCACGACAATCAGGGTCTGACTCTAAAAGTAAATGGAAGTATTAAATTACAAATTAAATGTAAAAAGCTGTGTATAGTCTGAACCAATAAAAAATGACTTTTACTCAGTATTTTTGGTGCAGCAAGTGTTCAAATGTTACTGTGAATTCAATCAGAGATTAATAGCATCCTCGAAAAGTGTTCCCCACTGTGGATTTGTGTGCGTTGTATTAAAAAAATTCAGGCTTACTACCACTGATCCAGTCCCAATGTTGTATTTTATTTTATTCCGTCAATTTCCTTCTTTAAGCGCCAAACACACTTTTTACAAAAAAAGACCATTCGCCGTTGTTCATTGAACGGAACGTTAGTGTCACGCTAAATCACATTAAGGGTTCCGTGAATACACATCTACAGATACTACTCAATGAAATACTATGCTTTTGTTTCAATGATCAGTTATGCTTTATCCGGGGATTTGAGATGTGAACAGCAAGTTTGAATACACCACTGCTGCCCAAAGACACAAATCAAACTTAGTCTGCACTATCATTTCCTTTTGCGTATGTGGCAATCCATTTAATCTTCGTATTTTGTATTAAGATATTAAAAAACTAAACATGCAGTGCCAAATGAACGGTATCAACAGCTGCAAATGTAAAGTTTAAAAAAAGCTGAAATGTAAGATAATTATCATAGGTATGAAGGCAGATGTTTTAGTCATGACAGAAGTAATCGAGTACAAATTAACAGATTTACGAAATTACGAGTAACCGACAAAAAAATATTAAAATGATTTTATGTACTAAACTCACTCTAAAATGACATTTTTTAAAGTCCCAGCATGATCAAGAATTTCTGTATTATTTCTATATATTTTGGGTTTGAAGCGCGAATATATCTATATATGTTGAACGAAATTTAGACGCCGACAGAATCATCGAGTGGTTTTTCAAACAAGTCATGTGCCTTTAACAAACCCTGGAAGTTACAAAAACAATTGTCATTCATTTGACATGTACTTTAACGTTTCTATAGTTCACTGTGACAACCATTGTGAAATCTTAACGCTCTAACCCGACCCACGTGGGTCCAGTTAGGAAATCAAAATTTTATTCTTTGTAAGGAGAAAAGTTTTATTCCTGTGTGTTTTTGAGGACATTTATAGAATAATGAATGAAAAATTCAAAACTAAGAAATTCAAATTTTGCCTATATCTCCCTTTAACATTTTATTCCGCGTTTAATGCGGAAGGATATAGATTTGGCGTTGCACTTCCGGACGTTCCAGCGGGCATACATGCAATGGTGTGTTAGCTTTATTCTAAAAGTAAACAAAAAAAAACAGATTGAACAATTCAGATGCAACGGCTTTAACATTGCTACGTTTGTCCAAATGCAAAACAACTTCCCTATAGGTGGATATAACGTGTTTACGCATGATTTTATACATGCCTGGTTCCAAGATATTCAATCTCGGTAAACTACAGCAGTTGCCCAGTCCATTACTTATATTCGGAGATAAGAAAAGTTTGTCTTTTTAGATATATGAAAAGATAGATAAATTCGACACATGGTATCACCCCGTCCCCCTACCTCCCTACGTCGATCAAAGGACTCAGTTGGTTATTCGCTCACCTAGTAGAAGGTAGTTGATAATTCGGATATTGCATATATCTGTATATTCGCCTGAAAACAATAATTATTTTTATGAAACAAGTGTTTCGGTTATATAACGAGATATGTCTTTTCTATAATATGGTTACACCCCCTTCACAATACAGACCGTATAGACCAGGGTACTCAGTTGTTTATTCCCTTGAACCCCCAACTACCTACCAGAAGGTAGTTTGTAATTCGAACTTTGCATGTATTGCCCTTAAAACAGAAAGTGCTTTTCCGGAATAAATATAACGGATATATATAGCAAGGTAGGTGTGTTCTTTAACATTGAGACATCCTGTCTCGCTATGTCCATCAAGAGACTCAGTTTTTATTCGCGCAAATACACAACTTCCTACAAGAAGGTAGTTTGCAATTCGCATATTGCATATATTCCTCTGAAAATAGAAGGATTTTTTCCGTAACAAATGTTACGGTTTTATAACAAGATATGTGTTTTCTATAACATTGTACCTTCTACATTGTAGTTGGTTAATGCGTTATTACAAGAATCAATTGACATATCCCCTCCTAAAAACTCATCAATGTAATGAATTAATTTGCCTATATCTAATTTTGATTTAATGCAAAATCTAAGCATCTGGCAAAACTTTTGCAGGTTATACAGCTCACTGATGCCCCAAATGAAAGTGCCTTATCAAAATGAAACTTATTATTAAAGCAGAAACCAAGCTGCTCGAAGTCTGAAGATATAATAAGTATCAAACTATAGACTCTTTTGAAATCAGAATTAAATATTCTGCAGTGTTGACCCAGATCTTGGACTGTTTTTATTTCTTCATCAAAGTTAGTTTACTGAACAGTGCATAAGGTCGGGTCAATTTGGTCATTGACTGATTCCCCCGACGGATATGATAAATGATGTATCATTCTGAATTCCCCGTGGGTTTTCTTTGGGATTAGGCCAATGGGGATACAATTAATTTGGCAGTGGGCATTCAATAAATGGACCAGCTACCCGACCTGCTTCAAGTTCCTTGCTAATCTGTTTGTTATTTGTTTCGTGATTTAGAAAAGTATAACAGTGCCTCGCTGTGGCCAGAGTATTGCAAACAAAACCATTTTATCATAAAATTGAAAATAGTATTCTAAAAATGAAAAGATTTTGCCATACCAAAAACACCAGGAGTTTTTTTCGAAATACAGGGACGTCACTTTATTTGTTTGACTGGCCTTTATTATAACCTCTCCCTCTAGGAAAGGGACTGAAATCCCCTCCCTCGAAAAGTACGTTGTAAAAAAGAAAAACATCCCGATTGTGTATGTCTAACTGAATTGATAGTAGAATTGCATTTTGTACACAAGTAAAGGAATTTGCAACTTGACCACGTGCATCTGCCATTATTAAAGTTAAGACACGTGTACCTTGACATTGCTGTGTTTTGAATTTGATGAGGGGACTTAACTTGCATGTACCGCCACCACAAGTCTTTATCTTAGACCATGGTGAAGTTGAAATAGCATGTCGTTAAAGGAATTACTCATCATAGGTTTTCGAAGCAAGACCTCCTTGACGCATGGCACATTCCCTTATATCATACATGTTATGTTATATCTAATTTTGTCCAAATGATTTGATTAATAGATTGAAGAGTAGATTATAGAAGCGTTTGTCCATTTTCCGATGCAATTTATTTGGTCTTTACATTTCTTAGGGGACGAAACGAGCTGTAAATCAGAATAAACCATAAAGATGCCGCCCCTTTAAAATTCCGATAGCTCTATCGCCCCCGTTTAATAATAACGCAAGATTTATATATTAATCTCTACAGATTTGTTGTTTGAGAACTGAAGGGATATGAGCAGCTAAATCATTTGCCACTAGACGTAAAGACTGAGTTGCATTTATGATATCGGTCCTAAAACCGGTGGCCGAGGGAACATTTGAGAGTTAGACAACGTGTGTGTAGAATAATACGTGCTGCCACATCCTATAATATAATGTGAAACAGGGTCCACACATGCTTGAGAATCTATATGGGAAATAATACCAGATGCATTTATTATTTGCTCAAAATCGATAAAGGTTGACAAACCGGCCTCAGTCTGTTGCAACCTATCACCAACCATATCGTCCAGCTCATCCGCATGTCGCTTACGCCCCTGGTCTGCCTGATTTTGCTGTGCTGGCTTTCCTGTACTAGCTTTGAAATCTGTGTCAATTCCCGATGATTGCGGTTGATACGGGTTTGAAATCCCCTGTCTCTCACTATTCCCTTGCCCGCTTCAGTAGACCGTCCATTGTTTCCTCTTGTCCTCCTACGACAACGGCATCTACGGGGCAGAGCAATGAACATTATTCTGTCTTTAAATTTGTTGAATTAAAGTGGTCGCAAAAATGACTGAGACAGTTGCACTGGGAACTCGAGTTATTATCTTGCGAACATCTGATAACTTAAACCCGAACTTATGCTCAATAGATAGGGCATTAACGGAATGCAGTATAATGTAACCAAACAATCTGATATAGACCGACCATAGAAAACGGTGCAGCAGAGGATTATATCATGAAACTAAATTGAATTAGTTTAATTCAAAAATAATTTTAATAATATCATGCAAGTATTTCAAACTTTAAACTATTAAACTACCCGAGTTATTCATTGAAATGTACGAAATAATTGCTATCGTTACGTCGGTACTTTAGTTCAAACTTGAATGTTGGATTCTGCCTGAGATTGTCCAGAACAAAAGGTAGTTCAACAATTGATGCTTTTTTTGCTTTATTTCAGCACTATCTTAACAACAATAAATGTTTGTAAGTAGGTTTTATCGGTTTCTAAAATACTTCGATTCCTTTTACAGGAAAAAAATTTAACTTTAAACGTTATAACTCTGGTGTACAAATAAAAGTTCTTAGAATTATTAGAAACACGTACGACGTAGAAAAGACCATCTGTTTTTAAATTCTATAAACTGTTAAATTGAATGATATAATAAAAAAGTACTTTGTGATTTATTTCAGCCTTCACACCTAGAAGAGATATCAACATGATTGAGAGGTGAATATCATTTAAGATTTAGGTTTAATTTCACTCTCTACACATTTAATTTAAGATACTAATAGAGGATATACTATAATTAAGTCTTAAATAACAGTATTCTGTACTACAATTATATAAAATAAACCTTTTTTGTCATCCGTTTTCGCAGCTAGCACAATTATTGTATTCGAGCCTTATAAAGTAGCATACTAGAATTTGACATGTAAATTTAAATGTATGTAGTAGGAAAATTGTGTACATAGAAGATATATTGATTTTAAACAAGAAACCATTTATTTAAGATGTTTGGAGATGGCATGATGCATCTTCAATATATGTCTCTATCAGTATTTGTATTGTAGCATTAATTAGCTTGTCTTGTCAAATAGGACAGAACATGAGTTGAATTATTAAATATTTTAAGCTGCATGCCTCCAGGTGAGCCTAAATATTTCAAGAAAATCAAACTTGAGAAAAATTTACTACGATATTTAGAAAGATTAAAACACTCAAGAATCGAGTAATTTACATGCTACGTGCGATTAATGATTGATTTTGCAGTATTTACCACAATATTTGTTTCTGCGTGACTAATGTAGTAAGAACTATGTTTCATATTTTGACCGCATTTAGACAATTTGCGTGGATTGCAAATGAATAAATTACTTTCTTTGATCACTTCAAAACACTTTACTTTTATATACATTTTAATATTTATTTGGAAAGAAAATACAAATCAGAAGAAAACAACAATAAAAGCATGTAATTACATATGTGTTTTACCAATAGGCTAGTATCATATTAATGTTTATATTAGTTCAATGTCCTTGTATTATATTTTACTTCCACTTTTCTATCATTATCAAATATACTTTAAGTATTTACAAACAGAAATTGTCTTAATATAAGTCATTATCTGATAATACAGTCGCTTAAATATAGAATGTAGTTTTTCATTTTTGCTTATCTATAACATTTTTTATAATGGCAACTTCACAATATTACAATTCGTTTTGCAGAGCAGGATAATAGTGAGAACAATCACAGGGGTGAGGTAATCATAAAAAGATACAACTAAATATATGAGATATAAAAGCAAATAAGGCATTTGTGTATTCATCTTCTTTAAAAATTTAGCAGATTATGATAAGCAAAGAAATAATATATTATGATAATAATCAAATATAATTAAAAAGCAATTTAGCGAAGATGTCAAGGTATATCTTATTATAATGGCTTTTTGGAAAATGTAATAGATAATCTTTCTATCGTTCTATAAATCTTACAATTTCTACGTAAATCAAACGAAAATATTTGTCTTTTACACTGGCGATGAGTTTTATGCTATGAAAATGTTATTCAGATATTGCCCGAGGCAAGAAAACCTCTTGGTTTGCTTGTCATATCAATCTAAAACTAAATGTAGAATATGTTTAAAAAAATGTGATGGAACTATATTCACGGTTGAGATAACAATATTAACAAAAAAATCTAAGTAGCTATCTTTATGATCAGACAAAACACAAAAGTCACTATAATTGGAAATCCGCTGTGTTTCGTTGCACTGTTAACACCCGAACCATCTGGAGATTTCCCTGAAATTATACAAGTTAATCTCTTTTTTGTATAAATAACAATTTTAATTTTTTCACTTTCGTGTTGTTGCCAGAAAGGTATCACACTCGTAAACTATTATAATATGTTTACAACTTCATTGTATTCTCTCTCTTGCAGCTTTACTGTGCAGGTATATGAATCATGAACATGGCTATAAATGAAAATTGTATGTCAGGTTAAACAAACGATCTACATGTCAGCAGTAGACCAAATTTCAAACTACATAAATTACATCACTAAGAAGGTATAGCAGGATAATATTATGATTTAGTAACAACATTAACATATACACGTCCTATATAGATCTTATACTTGTTTCAAAACAGAAGCTTTATAAAAACAATAATCAATAGGACACGGGTGTCCCTGCAATATGACAGTTTCACTTCTAAATTTCCACTTGACCTGGGTGTCTCGCGATTTACACCCTCTGGCCCTGTTGAAGACAGCTTCCAAATATTCTGACAATACAGCAAGGAATTAAAAAGCTATGAACCAAAAGGATAGAAGACAAACCCGATTTGACCTCTGACCTCAAAGTCCGACACTGAAGATGTGAATATACGGCTTGCGTTTAGTTTAAACATATTTATTTCCTGAATATATATACATATTCATATATACAAGAAAGTCATGAGCGGGATATATATATAAAATACAAATCAAACATTTTGATATTCAAGAAAACGATTATAACTGAAGACTGAAGTTTTATGAAAGTCTTTTCCACGTCGTATGACACACAGCCTAATTAGTGAATCCAAAATGTAATAAAATTGATATAAAGGAAAGATGCTTTGACCTCTGAGCTCCAAAAATAACCTTGACCATGAAGATTTTGTCATGAGTCCTGTACACGACACATCGTCTGACAGTGGTTAAGACATATTTATGCGACACATTTTCTTCAATCCATCTAGAAACGGCAAAGTTATTCGCAGGATTTGCCCTTTGACCTCCACAATATGACATTGACTTTGAATATGCGAACCTGCGTTTCGCGCGCAACACATTGTTAATTTTTCGTATTCATTTATAGTATTTTTTTAAATCTCATCTTGCATGCAGAAGCACTGGATGAGACACACATTGCAGCTGCTCGTCAACTCCCCGAAAAAGTTCAACCACTGACTGTCACCTTGACCTTTGAACTTGACACATTGGTCTCTTGCGAGTCACGCGATAAAGTGTACAGGTTAAAATAGAAATACTATCATTTATTAAAAAAGTTTTGGACCGAACATAAACTCTAACAGCACTTAAGACTATATGACAAATAAAGTTATTTCCCTTTCTTTGTACTTTACCTCTAAGCCTTGGATCTTTGTTAAAGCGGGCAACGCATCATGCCGTCTTATATAATCAAGTGTACCACTTTATTCTCAATAGCTATCATGCATGCAGAAGTTATTGCCGGGAATACGAACCTTTACAACACTTCAGACATTATGAGAAATACACTTAGCTTTTGCTGCATAAGCTATGACAAGGACCAAACAAACTCTACAGACTACATGCAAAACACTTGCACACTAATTTCAATACCCAGCTTTAACCTTCATCTTAAAGCATGTGGTCTTTGTTTGCATGACACATTGTTTTCTTCTGGTGGCTATGTGCCAATAAACTTAAAATTCCATCATGTCTGCATAAGTTATGGACATGATTCGAAGACTTACGCGCAAGGACAAGGGTAACATTGTATGTCCCCATCCAATTTATAGCGGGGACATAAAGAACACACACGCGCGCGCACACACACACACATGCGCACACACACAGCATGTAAACAATGATTCCTTACCATTATATAGAAAACTTCTGCATGTTGGAAATCCTGCAGGAGGACTTGCTTTTGACTCCCCTTCATCAATGACCATTCCCATACCATTTGTATTGTGCAGGTCAATATGACAATGTAGAAACCACATTCCGGGATTATCCGATCTAAATCGAATAACAACGTAACCACCTGCAGAAGAAGAACAAATGACGCATACTTCTCACGATACCAATGTTTATTCAAAATGTCTTTAATCAAAATAAATATGTCAAATTTTTGTAACTAAAATGTACACGCACTTTGTAGTCTATGAATGTGCTGACAAGGCAACGGAGAGCTATGTAAATGGTAAATTTACGCGACATACATATTGTTTTAATCAATGCCTTCAAATAAATATAAACTTTGAACTATTAGTTACAATCAGAATAAAGCTAGCTTCGAAATTACAGGACCTACATTTTCATTTTGATTCTAAGACTGAGCATTTTGTACTGTATTCGCATTATTGTACTATAGTGATACTTAATCTTCTTAATCTGTGACAATAGTCGTTATAAATTTGTTGCAAATTTATATTACGATTTCATTATTTTATATCAATTTTATATCAATCTTATTGAAAAGAGGCAAGTTAACATTCATCTTTAGGTATTTTATACCGGAAACAAATATATATAACGCACCAGAATGAATATCGTAATATTGATATCATTTTTGTACATCAATGTCATTAAAATGAAATATCAATGTCATTCAAATGACATAAAAATAGATAAATAAAGAATCCCAAAAGAAAGCCCAACACGGCAAAATTGAAAATGTTGCAGGCTCGGTTTGATTGAGCCTGTTCATGGACGGTACTGGAAAGTGCAAGTTACCGTCCACGCCCCCTAGCACCGGCTTAAGCAGAATTCAACATTTAAACATGAAATGGTAGAATTTTGAATTTAGAAACATCCGCAGATGTGTTCATACGGCGGTTATCATGGAACCTTCAATGTGACACTTCCGTGCCATTCCATGAAAAGCGGCGTATGGTCCCCAAGTAATAAAAAGCGTGTGCCCTAAACGAGAAAACAATGGGCGGAACTAAATAAAATAGAATTTTGAAAGGGGATCAGAGGTTATAAAAACTAAATAAACTACATAACATATAATGTCTAGGATGTTTTTCTTTAACACTACGGGCATGGTATTTTCGTGCCGTTGTCGAAAATAATTTAGCTATGTTTAGCTGTTCTGATTTAGACAACTGTACTATGAATTCTTTCAGTTACTATAGATTAGTATCATTTGTAAACAATTGAATCAGGTTAAAATCATGTTGAAACATGTACATGTTTATCAAAACAAAACCTGTAGGTTCTTCCGTTCAAACTTTTACTTACAAAAAGCATATGGGCGTTAAGGACATGAAACAACTGTACTATACCTGTTGGAACGACAATTGTGTCTTTTTGCGGTGGTTTACTGCTCATGTCTGGAACTCTTCCACCTGCCCAACTACGGTTTGTCCATGCAGCAGAACTACAGTAGCCAAATCTATCCGTGCAGTTTATGTCTTTAGAATTAGACATTAGATTTCCTGTATTGCGGTTGTATGTGCCAAAACCCATTTTCATTACATAAAATGAGTGTCCATGCAAGTGCACAGGGTGTGACCATCCCGATCCACTACCTAGGTTGAGTAAAACAAACTGGACCAGCTTGTTGGATTTTAATTTCTGAATATATGTACATTGACAGATGCCATTTTTGTTACAATCGTCCGTACATGGAGTAGTCAACTCGTTTTCTTGCGTGAGAAGAGAAACAGTTGGTGGAACGAATTCTCGGCCATTAACCGAACCTGGGGTGTTATCTGGGGGCCCGGGAAAAGCAAAGTTAAAGAAGAACTCTTCGTCGACTTTATTACCTAACACTTCTTTGTAATTTTGATTTGGATCAGTGTTGTTTACTTCGGCGAATGTGATACAAACTCTATTATCATTTGGTGGGTAAAATTCATAAGGACAGTTGAATGTAGTGCATTTAGATGAAGATGTACAGGTTTCTTCTCTACTATTTGGTGGGTTTGGAGGTGGCGGAGGTTTCGGGGAATCTTCAAATTCTAAAATCGCCTCAGCTGCGTGGTACTTTGAGAAACCGAGACTTTGACCAGTTTCTATTGTCTCGGCAATAAACAGTATCTCTTTAGAAGTGACATTAATCGCTGGCGGTGCTTGCCAGAAAAAGTCGTACCGCTCGCCCGGATGTACTATGATTGACTGCACTGGTATTCTGTCGACGTTGTAGGCATCAGATGTACGTAATGTTAGCCGATGACCATAAATATATACTCTCATTGGATAAAGGGTCATAGCTCCAATGATCCTAAACCTGTACAAGGTTCCAGAGCGTACTTTAAATCGTTCAAGTGGTGAACCGTTGTTATTATTCCTTGTATTCCAAAATCTACCCTTTCCATTTGCCAGACCCGACTGAAACTCAAAACGGCTAAATTGACCATTGTCAACTGAATATGTCGTGTTGATTTTCTCGTTGGTTTTGAAATCAAACTGCTCTGTTATCATTCTTTGATATGCTACCTCAGGGTCCATCAGATGATTCCAGTCCTGTAAAGATATGATTATTTCGTTATCTTCAATAACGGGATTTTTTGTTGGGCGAACTATAACTGGTCCGTACAATCCCATACTTCTTTGATCCCCTATATGTGCATGGTACATTGCCGTCCCGGGTGGATATGCCTTGAACCTATGAACAAAGGATTGTCCTGGCAATATCGGGCATTGTGTGACAAATGCGACACCATCCATCCAAGGCGATTCTCGCTGGTGTAATCCATGAAAATGCATCGTAACGCTGTCGGTGTGAAGTGCGTTTATAAAGGTTATTTCCAATGTTTGACTTTCCCATACTTCTATCCTAGGACCTGGAAACGACCCATTAATAGCTATTACAAGACGCGAAGTCGCCCCGTCAGCTGTAATAACTCGGGAAACTTGCTCGGGAGTTAATTGGGCATTTCTGTTTGCTTTTCCCCGCAGTCGCAAGACCCCGTTGTCCGGATATACTAGTTGCTTTTCTTTCTCAAGAATCATGGTGAGTTTATGTTCAATGACAAATGTACATGCACAAACTTTGTCTTCGAGTTTGCAGATACAGTCATTAGGTTTTGCTGTTGGTTGAACGGTGACTTCCGCTCCAATACTTGCGATTATCGCGGCAAAAAATATCACAAACTTCGTCATCTGTAATAAAAAAAAGTCAAAGTAAAGATATTCGTGTTATTTAAGAAAAGAGACGTGAAAAAACAAACAAAAAAAAACATATTTGTTTTAAAGATTGCAATTGAATACCTCTATTGTACGTTTTATTAAGTGTAAAACATTAATAAATAAATATAAAGTTTGATGCGATTGCAAAATTGCTGCGAGATAACGTTATTGAGGTTTTGTACTTTGAAATATTATGTCATTTGTTTGTCACATATGTTCGATAATGAAACGATACACCCACACCATTCAAGGTTGCAGTGTTATTTTAAGGGGTAAAATGAAATCTATTTTGATTTACTGCACTGATAAAAAGAAACGATCCTTTTTTGACCGACTAACAACTCTTGAGATAAAAATAATATGAATGATAAATACCATTACAATGACAGTTTTGTTCTTCTGCGAACATTTAGTGTTATCAGAAAGATACTAAGGAAACGAAGCTATTCTATGACCGTGGAAGGTTTACAAAAACCACAACCTTCGACAGCTATGAAAACTAAATCAAACTTATGAGAATGTCATGATCAGACTCGATTTAATGAAGTCTGTTTGTGAACGGTTTGATAGGTGCAAGATATCCCACGCCTCCTTGCACCAGCTTGTTAATCAGCAGTATTTAGCCTTCAACAACAAACACTGTAATCAACTTTACCCATAAATAAAACACAAATGAGAGATGATTGAGGGGGCAACTTGTACAGTTGACACGCTACACTTAACACCTGCTGTTTGTAAAAAAGAGTGAGAGACACACACACACACGCACGCACACACACACACACGCGCGCGAGCGTGCGCGCACACACTAAAAACTAAAAAACAAATTTAATAAAAAATAAAATAAATAAAAAAAAAACAGTAATGAGTTTATCAAGAAATAATTTGCCCTTTTCCTGCCTTTATTCACGAAACCTACATTCAGGTAATAATATGCTGTAACTATCTTAACTTTCCATATGGTCTAAAAAAATCTTGAAAGAGATCTCCTTGGATCAATATTAAATAAAACTCAAAAGATCAAAGTCGCAAAATGTTTATGGAGATAGTAAAGTGCAAACTTACAAAAACACGCACAGACATCATTGCGCATACCTGCACTTTGTACACGCGCACACGTACTTGCACCGGCTTGAAAATTGTTAAACATTAAAAATATGGGATCAAACTTATCATCTCACAGATATACTGAGCAACATTTTTACATATGTTATCTGCTGTTATGAACAATTTACTGTCGTTTCACATTGGCATACTTGGAGGGACTTCATCTAATTGTTGGCCAACCAAATTGCTTTTTGTTAGGGCTCGTCTACACCTATCCAAGTCTTGAATGCAAGTATCATATTCTCTTGTATTGCATAGTGTAGACACCATACTTGAATGAGTTTTAAAGAGAAATTATGTGATATCCAAGAAGATAATTCCTTACAAGAAAGTTAGAACACGTTCTATTTTTCTACAAGTTTTTGGCAGTCAGGACACTGATAACACCGGTTTGACACAAAACATGTGCCCCGAAGGTGGATAGTGTTCTTTTTTTAAATTATTTTCTGACTTTTTTGTTCATGATAAGTAAATTTTAGTAAATGTATACAATACCTTGGTCAGAGGAACAGATCAATACACTGAAACACAGAAAAGCAAAGCAAAAAAAAAAATACTTAAAAAGAACAACAGTTTTTCAAGTAGTCAAAATGGATTTTCAATGATCTTGTTCATTTAGTGAATAACTTTCATCAAATAAAGAATTTGCATAAATTTATCAGCTCAAAAAATATTTTTCTCACATTTTCCATTATTTTAAAAGAATGTACACATTTAAATTTCATTAACTCAGTTGTTTTTAGCTAATTGCATCATTTTCCCGCTTTTTTATTCACATATTTTACGGAAACATGATAGTATTGCAAAGACATAGGTATAAATCCTGGGCAATCTTAATTAGACATTTCAGTAAAACTTGTGCCTGATTAAATATCGAAAGGGCTATTTATTTAGCTTATCTAAAAGTGACATGTAAAAAACTTGAATATGTGTAGACGCAGCCTCATAAACTCATCATTTTTATAATATTTGGCATGCATTGGATGCAATAAAATATGATTGTACTAAACATTGACAATTTGACATATTTACATACTATTCGTCCGTCTTAAAATTAATATCTTCAAGTATTACACTTTGGAAATTGCATATTTTCTAATTCTCAATATTTTGTGCTCCAAAAGTAACTACATGTAATTCAAGGCATGATCCTGTAAGGTTCTTGGTATGTTATTGGTAGCAAAATCCATCAAATACCCTCATTAAACTTATGAGTATATGTGCATACATACATTAGCACAAGTAAACCATTTTTAGTTTATTACCTTTTCAGTTAAACAATTATATTATTTAAACCATGCATTATTTCATTTTTCTTAATTAGGAATAAAAACCAACTTACGTTATAACCTAATTTCAATGCTTTCTACTTGAATCCTACGCATGGCTTTGATAACGACAGAAATTTGTTGGACCCGGATGTTCAATTTTTTTATCTTGATGTGTTTCAAGTGTCACCATTACTGTGCAAATATTTTAGGTTATTGATGTGTACGCTTATCTTACTTGAATCAAAACTGAAAGTAGTATTTTACAAAAACGCGTAAATTCTTGTAACCAAAACGAAAAGTTAAATCACACACAGTGACATCAAACAGAAATATATACGTCTGTTGTTAAATTCACCCTGAGCATTTTGATTACCTAATTTAACTGCTTAGACAATTTGTTTTGCTTCTAAACTCAAAAGCATATTTTTTATTATCATTATATTTTCTTCTTTTGTTGAGATATCCATATTGGCTTATCCATGGTTAGAGAAGATCCCTCGTCTATAAGTCTTTCTCTTAATTTGCCGGATTTACACCCGAACACTAACAGGTCATGAGTCATATCGTCCATATCGTTAGGCCGCGTCTACACCTTGTCAAGTTTCTTACATGTCACATTTAGATAAGCTAAATAAATGGCCCATTCAACATAAAATCAGGAACAATTTTTACTGAAATGTCCTATCAAGATTACCCAGGATTTATACCTTTGTCTTTACAATACTATCATGATTCTGTGTGAATAAAAAAGCGGGAGAATGATAAAATTAGCTAAAAACAATGGAGTAAATAAAATGTGTATATTTTAAAATAAATGGAAAATGTAAGAGAAAAAATATTTTGAGCTTATAAATTGATACAAATTATTTATTTGATGAAAGTTAATTTCGCTTAATGAACAAGATCAATTAATTAAAAATTTAAAATCCCTATTGATTATACTTTTGAAAAACTGATTTTTTGTTTTGCTCTTCTGTGTATCAGTATATCGATTGTAAACATTTACTGAAAATCACAGGCCATGAACACTGAATCAGTTACAAAAAAGTCAGAAAATAATAGAAAAAAAACAAGCACTATCACACCCTTCGGGGCACATGTTTTGTGTCAAACCGGTGTTATCATTGTCTTGACAGCCAAAAACCTGTAGAAAAATAGAACATGTTCTAATTTTCTGGCAAGAAATTATCTTCATGAATGTCACATTTTTTATTTTTTTATTTAAATGGCGATCAAATATGGTGTCTACACTAAACAAGACAAGAGAATATGATACTTGCATTCAAGACTTGGATAGGTGTAGACGGGGCTTGAAGTATTCAATCATTCAAGTATTCATGGAATTTCTATTCTATACCCTATATTTTTTGTTATTGTTAAACATAAGATTTCTCCATTTATACATTGAAAATGATTCGCATATTTACTGCAATACATGCAGTATATATTTAGTTTGTTCAATACTTTTTTCGCACCATGATATTGTGATATGAATATGTTAAAAAAATGTTGATTGTATGTATGACTATTGAGCAGTTATCGTCAATTTAATACTACATATGTATTTTTTTCCATTTCCGCTTTACTTCTATTTTATTTCTACCTCATATTTTCTCTTGAACACCAAACCTCCCAATTTAATTACATTTGTTAGGTCCATCCAGTGACAACTTATATTACAATCGGAGTATTTTGGTAAATTACAAACAATAACATAACAGTTATGTCTCTCCAACGGTACTTTACCTGTTGGAACGACAATTGTGTCTTTTTGCGGTGGTTTACTGCTCATGTCTGGAATTCTTCCACCAGCCCAACTACGGTTTGCACATGCAGCAGAACTACAGTAGCCAAATCTATCCTGCAATTTACGTCTTTATAATTAGACATTAGATTACCTGTATTGCGGTTGTATGTGCCAAAACCCATTTTCATTACATAAAATGAGTGTCCATGCAAGTGCACAGGGTGTGACCATCCCGATCCACTACCTAGGTTGAGTAAAACAAACTGGACCAGCTTGTTGGATTTTAATTTCTGAATATATGTACATTGACAGATGCCATTTTTGTTACAATCGTCCCTACATAGAGTAGTCAACTCGTTTTCTTGCATGAGAATAGAAACAGTTGGCGGAACGAACTCTCGGCCATTAACCGAACCTGGGGTGTTATCTGGTGGCCCGGGAAAAGCAAAGTTAAAGAAAAACTCTTCGTCGACTTTATTATTTAACACTTCTTTCTAATTATGATTTGGATCAGTGTTGTTTACCTCGGCAAATGTGATGCAAACTCTATTATCATTTGGTTGGTAAAATTCATAATGACAGTTGAATGTAGTGCATTTAGATGAAGATGTACATGTTTCTGTTCTACTATTTGGTGGGTTTGGAGGTGGCGAAGGTCCCGAGAAATCTTCAATTTCTAAAACCGCCTCAGCTGCGTGGTATTTTGAGAAACCGAGACTATGGCCAGTTTCTATTGTCTCGGCAATAAACAGTATATGTTTAGAAGTGACTACACCTGCTGACGGAGATTGCCATAAAAAGTCGTACCGCTCGCCCGGATGTACTATGATTGACTGCACTGGTATTTCTGTCGACGTTGTATGCATCCGATGTACGTAATGTTAGCCGATGACCATAAATATATACTCTCATTGGATAAAGGGTCATAGCTCCAATGATCCTAAACCTGTACAATGTTCCAGAGCGTACTTTAAATCGTTCAAGTGGTGAACCGTTGTTATTATTCCTTGTATTCCAAAATCTACCCTTTCCATTTGCTAGGCCCGCCTGAAACTCAAAACGGTTAAATTGACCATGACAACTGAATATGTCGTGTTTATTTTCTCGTTGGTTTTGAAATCAAACTGCTCTGTTATCATTCTTTGATATGCTACCTCAGGGTCCATCAGTTGATTCCAGTCCTGTAAAGATATGATTATTTCGTTATCTTCAATAACGGGATTTTTTGTTGGGCGAACTATAGCTGGTCCGAACAATCCCATGCTTCTTTGATCCCCTATATGTGCATGGTACATTGCCGTCCCGGGTGGATATGCCCTGAACCTATGAACAAAGGATTGTCCTGGCAATATCGGGTATTGTGTAATAAATGCAACACCATCCATCCAAGGCGAGTCTCGCTGGTGTTATCCATGAAAATGCATCGTAATGCTGCCGGTGTGAAGTGCGTTTATGAAGGTTATTTCCAATGTTTGACTTTCCCATCTTTCTATCCTAGGACCTGGAAACGACCCATTGATAGCTATTACAAGACGCGAAGTCGCCCCGTCAGCTGTGATAACTCGGAAAACTTGCTCGGGAGTTAATTGGGCATTTCTTTTTGGTTTTCCTTGCAGTTGCAAGACCCCGTTGTCCGGATATACTAGTTATTTTTCTTTCTCAAGAATCATGGTGAGTTTATGTTCATTATAAAGTAAACGTTGTGCAATCATATACATTGTAAATATCACGCTTGGCTGCATCGCTTTAGATGATAAATGAAACACTCAAAATCCCACGTTAAAATGTTCTTAAAATTTTGTAAACAAATTTAATAAAAAAAACAACTGTTTATGTGGGTTTTTTTTACATCAGGCGATTTTTTTTTAATATCAGGCACGAGGGACGGTATTCAAAAAAGGCAATATATTGTCTGTCCATTCTTTGACCATAAAAGAAATCTGTAATTAAAATTTTATTGATAAAGATTTATTTAACAAGTTTTACTAGAATCAATTAGATAAAAATTTAGACACAAATGCGTTGCTTTTTTTAATTTAATTTCTCTCTTTCATTTTTTTTCTAAACTTCCAAAATACCCTAAATTTTACAGACATATAGAATAATACTTTTATATAAATTTATTTTTAAGATATTTAAAATCATTTAGAAATACATGGTATTCTATTTTACATATTTTTCTTTCCGTTTATAGTAGGAAACATGAGAGATTTATTAGCAAACCAGCTTTCTATGCTATTAAATTTGTGTAATGGTATCTTATATAGCTATTGTTAGTTATAAATATTAAACGTGCTATTCATATATGGTTGTTTTGTACTTTAGGATGGTTATACGATAAAAAACAGTGTGATATATTTTAATTAGAAGAGTGTAAGTCAATTGAAAAAAACCTAGAACACCAATTGCATTTAAACTAGTTCGTAGTTTAATGCCATTTAGATGAAACTTTGTAATTTTGAAATGAGGAATATGAAATAAAATAGGTTTCCATCTTTAGTACTCTCATATTTTTCATTGAAAACACTTAAATATCATATATCCTTGTTAATAGCTTGATTAATTTATTTGGATTCTAAATACAGAATTAATTCAAAGAAAACAATTAAACAAAATAGAATCGGTTCATTAACACATATGATCACTTCTAACAGAAATTAAAATAGTTGAAAATTAGCCGTTAAAAATCAAATGATTAACTGATGTTATTCAATGCAGGTACAGAACTTGCTTCTAATATTGTCGTTTCACACATATTTGACAGTTAAAGTAACATGTGACGATCTTTCAAGTTGCAAGGGTTGATTGTTTCCACAGTGTGCACAGGTTAAGGTAGCCATTCAGAACAATTTGTATGGTTTTTCTACTTTTATTTGGCCACTTATATGAGTCGTGTGACATAGTGTATCATCATAACCATTGATAGACCACAGCAAGCTTCATTTTTGTAACTGGTTGTCTAGTTCTTTTTGTACTCTCCTGTGCATCGGTCGATTTTTTCACTATCGTTCACTTTCTTGTCTGAAGCAGCGTCGGTGTATACAGTAAGCTGCGATTGGAGCGTATTCTATTTGTGGAAGGCTGCATGAAGACCTATAACCGTACTATAATGTAACACGGGCAATTCCCCAAGGTGATGACAAACTTATGTTTGATTTAGAAAGGATGAAGTATACTGCAGAAGGCAAAACTGAATGGTATGGGTTACACTGCCAATTGAAGGGACTATGCTATTTCTTGTGAGCATTTGTTGGACTACAACAACAAGCTGATGGTACACAGCTGATGTGTCACAGTACTAAAACAGATTCAGTGGAAGAGGACAATTTACCACCGTATGTCTGGAATTGCCAACTCATCCATCAGCATTTACATCAAAATTTTATCAAGAATCTTAAATACACCATTGAGAACGAGTTGACAAATCGATTCACCAATACGTCAACAGCGTATACTCCATGTCGAAGATTAAATAGTCAGATGTTCATTTCACAGTTTGGAACAATAAGAAATAAATAACGACTTTCCTGTATAAGTATTTTTAACATTTTTAAATCTTTAATATTTGTCAACTACATGTATTTGGTTTTCTTAATATAATTTCTTCGTTACATTCAGTTAAACACATACAAAACCTGATTTAATAAATATTCAAGAAGTGAATAAAATTTCGTTTATCGACCATAATGCAATGTTCTTCAAGAGATATTGGTATGTATGAATGTCATTGTATGTTAAAAGAGTCTTTAAGAGTGAACCATATAAGTATATGAACATTAATATTATTTTAGGTTAAGAAATAAACATTCCGTTCAAATTCAGTGTATGAATTAATGTGTATACTGTAATAAAGTAGTGCGACATTTGGTATATTTTTAAATTTTTGTTCAATACAATAAGACAAAAATCTAAATATTTCTTCTACACAATTGTACGTTATATTACCGTTAAACATATCTATTAAGAAAACCAATACTATAACAAGAGTATATAAATAACACATGGGTTTGTGGGGTAACAGTAAAAATATCATCCCGAGGAAAAAACTGTTACCCGAGGCATGGTTACAGTTTAGATACTTGCCAAATTATAAATGAAGTTCGTGTATCCGTTATCTTAATTTAATAATCAATAGTTTGTATTTAATATATTCTTAAAGCGTTGTCATCAGAAAAGCTTTAGTTTGCTATTTTACTTACGAAAAATGACTAGGTTCAGATTGAGCCTTTTTGCAGAATAAGTAATGTCGCATGTAAGAATTATTTCCACAGCAATAACAATAAATGTTAACAAATTGTATGAATAGAAGAAAAAATATTGTTTAATTCCATTACAAATAAAAATGCGTAATCGTAATAGAATAGAGAAAAACAGAATGTTGTAAGCCCGATTTGATTGAGCCTCTTCAATGTCGGTTGTGGTAACCGCAAGCTGCCGTCCACACCGATTAGCACCGGCTTAAGCATTATTCAATATTATACAGAATATATATATTGGTAAAAACATGTTTCTATATTTCGCGGTGTGAACTTTACTATCATGACTTGTTATCGCGGTGCAACATTGGAAGTTGATGGAATGTAATTAACAAACAGCGTGTGTTTGGTTGCTCATATTTAGCCATGAGACTTAAACACGAAACAAATTAAAGGACATCTACATGTATACTGTAAAATCATTTTTGTTTGCAAACGGCAAATTTTCGCATACTTTGGGGTAAAAATACGCAAATTTAATCCTTAATAAAATTAGATAAATTGTTAGACTTGTCCAAATATTAAAACTGTCTGAAATATATGCATATTGCATTTGTTCCTACGTATCATGCCGTAAGTCTATTGTCCATCATAGTTGTAAGGTATTGTTAGCCATATTTATTCAATAACATTTATGCCATGTTAAAACATTATTATTACAATACTATTATATACATAAGGATGCATTTGAAATAGATTCAGATGCATCAAAGGCAATTATGCTCATGAAATGATTATTTTTATTTCTCAAAATATTGTAATATTTATGTACTTCTTGTATAGTTTCCAAAAGTAACTCATAACCAAATAACCATAACCATCTTTTTTCTTATGTTGCTTTTTTTTCAATTCGCACAGTTATATTGATTTAGTAAGTTTTTTGTATAGAAATGAAAGCCCGTCTTTCCTCCGGTAACAAGCATTTAACATGACTGTAATAAAACAATAACTTAAATGTTCAAACTCATATATGTGCTGTTTCAAAAGAAGTAAGCATGTATTCGTTTCTGATGTGCCTTTAAAGGCACATTGTACCTCGGAAACGCTTGATTTGTTATTTTCAAGCTAAAAGGGCTAAATAAATATGAATTTAATAATGTTTAAATAATTAAGCATGCTTGATGCTTGTTACCTGAACAAAGTACCGCTATTGTAGTATTTTGATTTCCATACAAAATATTTATCATTATAACTGTACTAATTGAAAAAAGAAGGTTCAATTAATAGGCCAATGATAAATTAAAATAAAAACATTTGTGGGGTATAATGTGCCTTTAAGATAATGTCACAATTTAAGTAACACGAGAAGTATATAAAGTATTCGTCAATATTGATCATATATAAAAAGGAACACAGTGGGTCTGTTTAAGCTTTTTTTTATCAAAGAATAAGACGTATATTTGAAATTGTTTGACTTTTCATTTTCTTTAATCTTCAAAAGCGTTTATCTAAAAAACACTTTGTATCATAGTTTGGAGACCTTTCTGTTGAAAATGTGTCAGGGTTAAATCGTATACATATACATGCACAGTGCGTTAACTGGAGTGCGGGTATTAGTTACCCGCACTCCAGAGCATGCCCATTGATTGGCTCATTTTTGCCGGGGTTTACATATTGTGACGGCAGAGAAAGGGAAAGCGACAGAAATGTCATATTCAGATGTTCGTTCATTGGTTCATTTTTGCCGGGGTTTCATATTGTGACAACAGGGAACGTGCTTTTATGTTTGACTATGATACAAAAGAGAAAGAACACCAAAACACTCGGCAATCTGATTATTTTTTAAATGTAATGAAGAATATGTATAGTGAAATCAAGTCATGTGTATCTGTAAATGGCAAATTTTCAAATTTTTTTGGTTGTTATAGGGGCTTAAGACAAGGAGAAAATTTGTCACCGGTAATTTTTTCTCTGTACCTAAATGACTTAGAAAATTACATGTTATGTAATAACGATGTTTCAGTTATACTTGAAGATAATAACATTGAAATATTTTTGAAACTTGTTGTTTTGTTATATGCTGACGATACCATTCTTTTTGCTAAAACAGAACAAGATCTTATATCTGTGTTGAACACCTTTTCTAACTATTGTCATATCTGGAAATTAAATATAAACTTTGATAAAACAAAAGTAATGGTATTTGGTGATAAAAGAAATAGAAACAGGAATATTACGGTAGATAACCAAGTTTTAGAGATCGTAGACACGTTTAAATATCTTGGTGTAGTTTTTTCTAAGAACAGACAATTTGCGGTTGCAAAGAAACATATTGTTGATCAAGCAAGACGGGCAATGTTTGGTTTATATAAGAAAATAAGAAATCTAGATTTACCTATTGATTGTCAGTTAAAGTTATTCGATCATACAATTGTACCAATTTTAA